CTTTCTGGACAATGGTCCTATATAGTTCTTCCACCGGAGCTGGTCTCAGTGTGACTTGTTCAAGGAAGATGCGCATTCCTGAGAAGTCTGCACGACAGAAGTCTCGAAACCACGTTTGAGGTTTGGGATTTCTGGCCCAATAGCAGATGAAATCAAAGGTCGACCTTTGATCAGCACACAGTGGCCGCTATGTCCCAGTGGAGCGTTAATTGTTACCTGACCAAATCCAGGAGGGATGGTAGTTGGCCTGCGCGGTATCTGGTGGGTGCAACGAAATGTTGAGTCCAAGCGTTCTGTTGAACGTCTTCTAACAGCGCCGCTGCAAAAGGTCCGCCTGATTCGACGCCCTGAAGCTCAACCCAGAAGGCCTTTGGGGCGTTGAAGTCACCTACTAGCAGGAGATGAGTGAAATGGTAGTTGGAGGAGAGTTGCTCAAGGGTTTGTATGAGGAATTGTTCATCTTCAGGGGGATGGTCATCTGGAGGGAGAAGACGCAGCTGACGTATATTCGCCCTAGCAAAACCCAGCATCTGTTATGCACGGCCGCCGGCACTTTCCAAAGTTTGGTCATAGCTTGTATGAGGAATTGTTCATCTTCAGGGGGATGGTCATCTTCAGGGAGAAGACGCAGCTGACGTATATTCGCCCTAGCAAAACCCAGCATCTGTTATGCACGGCCGCCGGCACTTTCCAAAGTTCACGTGGTCATAGCTTTCTTGTTAATGATTGAGGATTATTGCGGTAAGGTGTCTCCATGGTAGTAGAGCCGGGCAGATGAATCCCATGGGGTAGTGTGGAGGGGCTATAGATGACAGTATTCTTTGTTTCGTGGGAGTTTCAAGCCGAATATCTACTCCAAACAGGATTTCGTCAGTCAGTATGCCCCATCGAACCCCAAGCGTCCGTCGCCTCGTAGGCGGTTGCAGGTCTACACTGTCTGCACGATCTTCGAAAGCGATTTTAGCCAATCGGCTAGGTTCGTTCGTCGCCCATTCGGTCAGTAGGAATCCGCCGGCTTCCAGGGCTACCTTCAATTCGAAGGCGATTTTCACAAGACGTTCTGAAGAAGTGGCACTAAGCAGCAAATTGTCCACATGAAATGCCCGTTCGGCGGCTAATCCCTTGGCGTGGCTCGACGTACTAGCATGGCCCTTGATGGTATGCTTTAGGGCGGAACTGGCTCAGAGGGGAGACGACGTTGCGCCAAAGGGATGTGCAGTCATACGGTAAGTCTTCGTTGGCTGTTCAACATAGCCGTGCTTCCACCCTAAGAACCGTACCACGCCTCTGTCTGATTCGGGTATCTTCACTTGACGAAACATTGACGCAATACCTGTCGTAACCACGTGCCTATGCTGGCGGAAACAAAGAGAGACTAAGAGTAGACTATTCGCGATGTCTGGATCATTAAGCAGCTGCGACTTCAGTGAGTTCCCTTGGACTTGACATGCACGATCGGAGACATCTCTCACCTCATTCGGCTCGTGAGGGTGGACCACCGTATGCTGTCGTAAGTACCGAATTCGTCCAGTGCGTTCAGTGTTTGGATGGCGACTGACAGGTTCGGCATATCCTTTGAGCAGGTGTTAATTAATGGCTTTCATATCGAGATCGTGATGTCCGCCCTTGGTGAATCTCTTACCAAAGGGGTTGAGTCTTTGGCGAGCAACGAGATAATTTGACGGTAAGCTCGGTCAACCCGGCTCCCAGGGCAGAGCAATTCCACGACGTCCATCCGTCAGTCTCAGCGAAGACTCTACAGCAGATAATGCCTGTTCATCAGCCTGTGACGATGAGTACTCGCATGATGGTGGGTTTCTGAACTCGATGTTGGTCGCGGCTTCCAACTTTGAATCCAGACGGTCTTCCACATGGCAGCTGAGCTGGTTGATTCGAGCCAACCTGTCGTTTGTATCATTCACAGGCCCAAAAGGGACCCAACCGAGTGGCGTTCGATTGGCGTAAGGTTCGTGTGGCCTGCCCGTTTGGCTTTCCATCACCTAATGTGTCATCGGTACGTCCATCCAGATCAATAGGGATATTGTTTGGTTTCCGGCATTCTAGAATGGGAGTCCTTTTAAGTGATCCCATTTAGACCACTGCTCTCTCGTTGGTAAGGTTTGAGTAATCGACCGGAGCTGACGAACGGTCCACGCCTTGATAGATTGCGGCGCCTCAGTCGGTGGCGATGTATCTATATCAAGACTGACCCGAGTAGTCGATACTTCATTCTGACCGTTGAGGTTGGCAACGCTTATATTTGTGGGCAATCCCGATAGCCCGAGATTTAAGGTGACATCCACTTTCAGCATCGTACAGGCTGAACCTCTGTCAAGAAGTGCATTGACTCTATGAACTTCACGGGGACCGCGAAGAGCTACAGGCAGTACGCCGGACGCCACGGTTGTCCGATTGCACTATCCTCTGGAACAGTTGACACTGAGGTCTGGACGGCATTCTTCCTGGCGTGTTGGCCCCACTGACTTAGTTGAAGGCTGAGTGGGCGGATGGAGCAGTGGGTGATGTAGAACTTCACNTTGCAAGGGAATCAGCGTCCAAGCGAATGAATTGCGAGCATCGATCGAGATAGTGCATTTTGCCACAGTGCACACACGGACGAGACATCGTCAGGCTATGTTCTCCATTAGCAGGCTTCTTAGCCGCGGACGTCGTCACAAGTGTGGATAGCCTTGGTGATGGTGCCGTCACAAAGCTACGGGGGAGTTCTGACTTACTGGTGAGATTTCCGAGGCCCGATCGAACCACTGTGACTGGATGGCACTCGAAAGGCGGCTAATAATAGCGCCTATGGTTGTTCTAGTATTAACCTCTAATGATTAGTTCAGTTGGAAGAGTACCAACCAACAAGCCTTCATTGTGTCGGCCAGCTTGAGTAGTGAGCGTGCGTCGTTTGGTCTAATGGGCGGCCCGGTTGTGACTGACGCAATATACTGTCTTGCGATCGTCGAATGGTTGACGAACCTGCGACCCAATATCTTCCAGGCTTCCGAGTAGCCATGTTCCGGCTCAAGTATTGTACAGTGGTCGATTGCGTCTCGTGCTTCATCTTCACAGGCATCGATCAAGA